TAATCAGGCACCATATTATTATTTACCTGATACATAATAGTACATAATTGATTATTTCTTCTGAGACTTAAATTAGGTAAATCTAATTCTTTAAGTATGTCGGCTGATCTAAATTCATACCCACGCTTTGTAATGATACGTGCTGCTCTATTTTGTAATGCCCCATACTTGCGAGCAGTAATCAAAGTGTGGTTGAATTAAGGTTTTGTAAACTTTTACTAGAGTCCTTACATCAACAAAATCTCTTAATCTTCTAAGGACGTAAAGACCCTTGTTCACTTTCTTTGTAATTAGATCTGTTTGAGAATGCCAGGTTAAGGTCTCATCTACCATCATACCCAGTGATTTAGTAACGGTTACTCGTTTAATAGGCGTATCTCCAATTTTTATTTGTAATTCGGAGTTACACTGTTTAAGTTTTTGATGTGATCCAATAAACATATATTCAGTTTTGCTTTTATTCAGGCTCAGCTTGTTGGCCGCCATCCAAACTGAAATATTTGCTAGGTCATCATTTAACGTTTCAAAAATTACTTTGACATCCTTATTTGCCGTTCCTAATTGAGTATCATCAGCAAACATGTCACAATCCGCACTTTTTAAGCAATTTGGCAAGTCATTTATGTAAACAAGAAAGAGTAAGGGTAATTTGGTAATTGATGTTAAATCAATTGGCAAATTTTGAAACGCGCTATTTCGTATACGGGAGGATCAAAACGATGTAATTTATGTTTAGAGGAAAATTTTGTATTTTGAAAGAAAACCAAAACCGTAAGTAAACACTCAATTGAGTAAACACTCAATAAAAGAATGGAAATTATATCTACGTGCAGACATAGGAAGAAATTTCGAGTAAACAACGCAAACAATACACTCCCACAATTCGATTAGGCATTTCCGCGTAAACAACGCAAACAATAGATGAATGCATGCTTTGTTTCACCCACACACCCCCACGTTCCGGCCAAAACACATATAAGCAGCCCTATTTTTCGAAACTTGTCATACCGCCTGATGATTCTTTACCGATGAAACAGACTGTTGCGGAATTTTGAGGTAAGCGAAATTCTACATTTGCTCTATCTTTATGATATTGAGCACTCTTTGCGTTTCGTATACACAAACCTACTCGTATATATATATATATATATATATATATATATATATATATATATATATATATATATATATATATATATATATATATATATATATATATATAAAAATTTTTAAAGTAAAATAAAATAAATAAAAATAACTGCTATTTATACAGTTACCTTTGATGCCTCACGATTGTGGGACATCAAAACCATGCCAGAGCGCTCAATATATATATATATATATATATATATATATATATATATATATCTATATATATATATATATATATATATATATATATATATATATATATATATATATATATATATATATATATATATATATATATATGCTGATTGCTGATAATACCAATATAACTGCTTATCATACAAATATTAATAGATTCCAATCTTAAAATAGAGATCTATAGATAACTTGTATAGATGAACAAACTAAATATCGTTTCGACCTAATGGGCCTCACATCAGTGTAGTGCTGATGAGCAGGATGAAAGTAACGAAAGTAAAAGGATTATCAATGATGCCAATATTCAATCGTTTACAAACACAATAAAAAATGTATCATGGGATAATGTACTTTCTATAAACAACACGGCAGAGTCCTACAATGAATTCTTTAACTTACTTTCAATAGCCTATGAAAAACCCGAAGCCCATGGATGACAAAATGTATTGCAAAATCAGTTAAGCAAAAGAACAAGTTATATAAAAAATACCTTCAATGCCCTTCAGAAAAAAAGGGGAAAATATACAAACAATATAAAAATAAATTAAATCATATAATAAGAGCGGCGAAAAAGAAACATTACGAAGAACAGTTAATAAAATATAAACATGATACAAAGGTACTATGGAAAACATTAAATGAAATTATGAATCGAAATAAAACAAGTAGTATGTTACCAAAGGAATTTATTGGAAATAGTCCTGGAGAAAAAATTACTGATCCAAAATCAATAGCAAATAGATTCGATTCAATGATTATTTTGTATAATTGGCCCAGGACTTGCGAAAAAACTTTCGAATAGCACAACAAATTTTGATAAATATCTCACTAATAGCTGTAAAGGAAGCTTCTTTATTAATCCAATAACTAAAGATGAATTAGAAAATGAGATAAATAATTTGAATTCCAAAAAAGCCCTGGATATGATGGTATAAGCTCACAGGTAATCAAAGCGATTGCTACAGAAATTTCTGAACCACTTTCACACATATTTAACTTGACTTTTCTTTCTGGAACTATTCCTGATGATCTAAAAATAGCTCTAGTTACCCCTATTTTCAAAGCAAACGAAAACAATGAATTTAAGAATTATCGGCCTATATCTGTTCTCACTTGTTTTTCTAAATTATTGGAAAAGCTTATGTGTAAGAGGTTAATTAGCCACATAGAAAAAAATAAAATATTGACACAAAATCAGTATGGTTTTAGGGAAAATAGATCTACTGAACTTGCAATCATTGAACTTGTTGACAAAATCACCCAAGCAATCGATAAAGGAGAATACACAATCGGTATCTTCCTCGACTTGTCAAAAGCCTTTGACACAATTAATCACAAGATTCTGATTCCAAAACTAGAACACTATGGTATACGCGGAATAACAAGACAGTGGTTTGAAGATTACTTAAAAAACAGAAAACAGATTGTTAAATATAACCAAG